TTATACTCTCTCTTCAACAAAATTAGAGATAAGGGCAAAATAGTTTCTGCCAGGTATTGAGGGGGTGGGGGGAGAGGGAGGGGGCGGAGTGGGTGGTAAGGGAGGAGGTGGGGGCAGGGGGCCTTGTATGCACATATGAATAATAAAACAATAAAAAATTTTTAAAAAGGCTTTTTTTGTAGTTCTGGTTGATTTGAGGAAATGTTTGATATATTTTTTATTTATTTCCCTGAGCCCAAAGAATATTTTAATTTTGATTTCACATTGATTTCAATTTGGTAAGTGCCTACAGTTATACAGAAAAACAGCATGCAATTCCCAGATACTTACATCTTCCAGGTCACCACCAAGCAAGGACCGGGAACTTAAGTCCAGCCCTTGCAGCTGGAGTCTCGCTCCTTCAAGTTCCAGAGACAGGTGCTCCGTCTGCTTCTTTTCTGCTGCCAACTGAGACTCCATCTCCAAAGTCACAGTCATCAGTTTCTGTTGCCACTGCTCATTTTCTGACAAATACTGCTTCCTAAGGCAGTCGAGTTCATTCCTTTCAGAACTTAGTAACTGCTCGAGCTCTTCAATTTCCTTATTTTTCATAATCCCTTGATTTTCAATTTTCTCTTCTAGACTCTTGAGGGATTGCAAGTACAACTGACAGAGTGTCTCAAGTTCTTCAACGCTCCTCCCAGGGGCAGAAGGGATTTCTTTCTCTGTCAGACTTTCCTCCTCCAGACTACTGTAAGACACTTCGTCTACATTGGAGGGGTTTGCTGAAACATTCTCTTCGAAATTACTCAAAAGAGATGCATCTCCTACGTGTTCTAAAATATCTTTGCAAAAAGAGGATTCTCCAAGACTTGTCAGACTAGGGCTATCAGTCACACAGGAGAATGACAGAGATGGAATATGCCCGTCCTCAGGTCCTGGATTCATCTCCTTTACCATATCACCCTGCAAATTTCTCAGATTGCTGGACAAAGCTGAATTTTCAGCCTTTAATGTGTCAACACAGGACTGCAGCTCTGCCATCATGGCGCTCATCTGACAGTGCTGATCATGTAACATCTTGTGTTCGCTTTGTAAACATGAGAATTTCTCCTGCAATTCAGCAAAGTGCACTTGGACTTCTTTGTTTGACAAGGTCAAATGCTCATAGAAATTGCTGTTTTCCAAAGGATTAAAGGACACACATGTCTGCTCGTTTTTCTGCCCACCAAACTCACCATCTGACATTTCTTTCACTAACTCACCATGGAGGTGACCATCTTCATCATTTAATATTTTCACTTCATTTACTAGTTTCCCCACCTCTTCTGACATTTTACTAGTTCCCATGATATATTCTGATCTTGAATTATTCAGCTCAGATACAAGTTCCAGCTTTTCCACCTGCAGTATCTCACACATTTTCTCTAACTCACTCAGTTTGTTCATTGCTGTCTGTAGAGAACACTGCAGGTGTGCATTGTCATTTTGACTCGTTGACAACTCATGAAGCACTGAAATATACTTTTCTTCTGCACTAACCTCACAGTCTTTAAGGCTGCTAATTTCCTGTGACTGTCTGTCTTGCAAATTTCCAGTTCCTAATTCTCCTCTGATTGTCTGTAATTCCTGCTGCAGGCGTTCTTTCTCCTTCTCACTTTCCTCAAGCTTTAATTCCATATTTCTTATCACAGTTTCTAACTGTACCAACTGTGCCTTATTACTTTCTGGAGAAATGTCTTCGATTTCAAGATCCATCTGACACTGGAGAGTGCTTTTATTTATTTCATTTTCTGTTTCACTCCCAGAGTCCCTAGTTGATTCAAACTCTAGATACTGACGTTCAGGTTTAGCCTTTGTTAATTCCATCAGTTGCTCATTCTCTTGTAATAAGTCATTCACTTCCTTTTGCATCTTAGTTTGTTCTTCCTTTAAAGTCATGATTTCTTGCCTTAAGCCATCAGCCTCACTCCTAGAATTGTTTTTGATGTCAGTAATCTCATCTCTCAAAACCTGTTGCACTATCCCTGAGTCTAGTATTAGTTTCTCATTTCTTTCCTCAGCAAAAGCCAATTTTGTTACCAATTCTTGCTGTTCCTTTGTAAATGTTTCCTTGAGCTGTTCCAATTCATTTTTTCTGTTTTCACAAACACTTGTGCATTCGTTTAGAAAACATTCTAAATCAGAGTTCTTTTCTTGTGCAGCTTCATACTTTCCATTAAGATCCTCCAATGCACATCTGGCTTCTTCATATCTCTGTAGTAAAAGAAATCTTTCTTGTTTGTACTGATCAGATAACTCTGAAATGCTTTTCCCTTGTTCCTCTAGACAGTTTGAAAAATTCGCACTTTTTTGGAGTAACTGCACTTTCTCCTGATTTAAGGCTTCATTAATTTCTTTGAGGGTCCCATTTTCTTGGGTGAGCTCTTCAATTTTTTTTTTACTTAGAGAAATAATGGAACTCATTTCCTTTTTCTCTGCACTCAGGGTTTCTGACAGAAGTTGTATCTCCTTTAGAGAGTCTTCAAGTAAATGGTTGCTCTTTCTTAATTCCTGAGTCTCTGTTTGCTCAGCTTCTAATTTTTCTTGCAAAAGTTGCAATTCTTTTTCCTTGTTCTCCAGGGACACTAAAGTGTCAGCGACAACACTCTGATGAGCACAAGTGTCTTCCTGCAACTTATTAATGCGCTGGCTTGCTTCAGCCACAAAGCTCTGGTGCATCTGTTCTGCTTTGCTGAGATTTTCTTCTATTTCTCCTTTGATTTGCACCAACTCCTCACACTGCTTTTGTAGATCTGAGTTCATCTGCTTTTGAGACTCTAAAGAACACTCAAGTGAAACAACTCTATTTTGTAAGGTGGCTAAATTTTTTGGACTTTGATCTGCAGCTCTCTGGCAATGGCTCCTTTCTGAAGACAGGCTCCCATGTTCTCCCATCAGATTTGCAAAGGAATTATTCATTGCAGGCTGCTGTTCAGATTCCAAATGACTTCTCTGATGATCCTCATTCGTTTCCAGAGAAGAGCCTTTGGATTTCAGCAGATCCTTGAGGCTCTCGTATTCAGAATGCAAGTCTTGATAATGCTGGTCTCTGGCCATGATTTCACTTGTCAGTAACTGAAGCTTCTGTTCTAGATCTTCCACTTGCCCAGTAAGCTGAGAAGTTTTCAGACACATATTTTCTATTTCCTTCTGGTGTTTCTGATCTGAGAACTCCGCTTGCTGCTGCAGTTCTATGTAAGCTTGTTTCTGTGTCTCTACCTCTGCCGTCTTGCTGTCCAGCACGTTGTGAAGGTTTCTGATCTCCACGTTCAGGTTTTCTGTTTCCATCTCCAGTGTTCTTACTCTCTCATTGTGTTCTTGACTTTTTATTTGTTGTGTCTTGAGGCAGGTCTCCAAGTGATTAATTTTACTCTTCAAGCTTTCCTTTTCAGATTCCATCTGATTTACAAGCTTTTCATTTTCACTTTTCCAACGAGAATACTGAGTTTTCTCTTCTTTCAATTCTTCATATTCTTTCTTTTTTAACTCCAGAGCACTTAGTAAAGCTTTGAACTCGCTCTCTACCTGGTTTAACTTATTATTCAGTTGTTCAATGTGATGTTCCCTTTTCTTCAAAAGGTCCTGAGAACAATCTCGCTGTTTTTCCAGATCGGCCAAGGCAAGCTTCAGTTTCTCTAAAGTCAAGGAGTTTTCTTGCTGATTTATTTTTTCTTGAAGGTCTCTTATCATGGTTTCCTGAGAGGTGTTCTTAGCTATTAAAAAAAAAAAAAAAAAAAAACCTCAATGTTTTAAATATCGATTTTAAAAGCATTCTAAACTCTAGAGCTAGGAGTATTGCTCAGTGGTAGAGTAACTGCCTCGTATGTGTGAGGTCCTAGGTTCCCTCTTCACATTACAAAAGAGCAAAAAAGGAAGGAGTAAATAATGATAAATTTTTTGAAAACTCTTTAAAAAGAAAAAATCTAAACAAACAGCTCCTCAAACCCTTTAAATCCTATAAAAATTGGCATTATTGTTTGGGTCCTTCTTAGAAAATACATCACCTGATAATTTCTTAACTTTATATAAAGACTGAGAAAAATGGGTATTTTAAGGCTAGAAATACACTTGTTAATCTTCTCTCAAGCAGTTCAACAAAAGTAGTGTTGTACAAAATACCAAATGAGTGTTTTCCTGAGCAATGGAAACCATTACTTTTTGTTTATATGTGTGTACACATCTTTCTTTTTCTCATCTTTTGAAATATTTACTCAGAGAGAAAATTGGGAGAACACCACTAAAATGGAAATATCCCACTGATGTCCTAGAAAAACAAATAACTGCTCTACCATTTTGGTTAAAAAAATCCATGGTGCTGGGCTGGCAGAGTGACTCAAGATGTAGAGCACCTGCCTAGCAAGCATAAGGCCCCGAATTCAATCCCTAGTTCTGCAAAAAACATGATGCTTTACAATAGGAACCCTCAAGGCCTGCCTGAGAGTATTCTTGAAGAACAGTATCATCCAAATTCCAGCCCTCCAGAGTAAGAATGGGGAGGGGAGTGAGAATTATCTGGATGCTTCTTCTATCACAACTTTGTTTTCTGCCCAATGACTCATCTCCATCCACAGACCTCCTACTTGGGAATGACCACAATGTTTTCACTGAGCAGTGATAAGAGGGTTTCATACTCCTCAAGTATGTAGAGGAAGATAAATGTTGAGGATATTAATAATAAACGATAAAAGTGGTATGTACCACAATCTCAGATGTAATACTAAATGGAAAGCCACACACATTTCTAAGCCACTAATCTCAAACCTCACCACTGAAAGTTGATGGCTTATGGAGCAATGCCCCAAGAACTTCAATTCACTTTGCTCATAAACACCTCAAACAATGATAATGGTGACCAACACTAAAAAATGCCTTAGCCATAACACATTCTTACAGCTTTCCTTCAAGAAAGCTAAAGACTGACATTTCTACCTACAGTCGTGGAAAAGGGAAACCTGTCTTAAAGAGAATTAGACTCCCAGCTACTTGGGAGGCTGAGGCAGTAGGATTACTTCTGCCCTAGAGTTCTAGACTAGCCTGGGCAACATAGTGAGACCCTGTCTCAATAAATAAAGAGAAATAAAGAAAAAGAAAAAGGGTCATAGAGAAGTGTAATATACATTCATGGTTCCAAGTTAAATGAAATCCTAGATGTACAAATGCCCCAGGTGAGGGAAAAAAAAAAAAAAAGACACATGGCACATAGATACAAATATGAGAAAAAGGGATGAATTCATTGGTATGTATAGCATACCTCTAGGCTTTAAAGTCAGGAAAGCCATTCAGTCAAGCAAGTCATCAAAATACAATGATCATGAAGGGCTTGGAAAACATGCATTCAATATAGGGTTTTTTCCATTTTAAGGGAAACATTAATGAGGGAGGAGTTGTCTGGATATAACAAACACACACTTGAGACACAAAGAACAGGACTCTGGGGTGAAAGACAGCACTGACGATTTAGCTCTGTGTGAGAAATATTTACCATTCTGGTTTCAAAGTAGTGAAAACCAGGCATTTGGGACTCAATATGTTCCACTTTTAAAAAGTCCAACTACCACCCTGGAAACTAAACAGTGGAAGACAGAAAATTTTCTCCACATCAACTGTCATTCTGGGTGAACATAAGGAAAAACTCAAAGAATCTTCTCCAATGTGCTCACCTCTCAATTCCTCTGCAGAATTCTGGCTCTGGTTTAAACACGCCTTAATTTTCCTGAGTTCTTCCTCCAGGTAGCAGACTTCTCTGGCCCTTTGCTCAGACTGACTCCTAAGGAGGCCATTTTCTTTCTTCATTTCCTGAAACACACATTTATTTGGTTATAATCAAAACAAATGCTCAAGCAAGTCACTTTTGGCTTAAGAAGGGTCCTTAAGAGAACTATCTATATCTCTTGCACAGGCAGGAATCATGTTTTTTCTTCAAGTACCTAATAATGTCACAAATAAGAAATCAAAACAAAAGCACAGAACCCAAATAGAAGAACAATCTTTTTCCTGGACAAGACCCTGGGTTCAATCCCCAGTACCACATACACACATAGATAAGATAGATAGATAGTAGTAGATAGATAGATAGATAGATAGGTAGGTAGATAGATAGATAGATGATAGACAGATAGATCGATCGATCTAGATCTAGATACAATTCTTTGAACTTTCTGGCTATACATGTATCTATTAAAAAGTTAGGCTCATAGGGGAAAGCCTATTTACAAGATCCTCAAAGAAAAAAGCTCCCAGCCCAGTTCCTATTATACCTGATTAATCAAATATAGCTTTACCAAAGAGTTGATGTATTAATAAACTAAAATATTCACATGACAAACTTTTACTTTTCACTATACAATGATCTTGAGGTTTAATGTCTTAGGAATATCTTTAAGAGTAAAATTACTTTCAGTAAATGCTTTCATCATGAAAATCCACAACATACAAGATATACATTACAAAAAATGCAAATACAAATATGACAAAGTCTCTGCCCTCAAGGCCATACCTCCAGAGAGGAAAGATGTGATACCAATCAGCAAATACACTCCAGAATGTGCAAAATACTATAAAATACACCGAGTGTGCTATGTGAAATCAAAGACTGGAACACTGAAGAATAATTCTGGATGGGAGAGTCTGAGCTTTCAGGGTGAAAATGGGATCTTGGGTACTGGATAAGTATTTATGCATCGATATGCAAAAACACAGCGAGACACATGTACATGCAGCTCCATTCCATTATGTCTCAGAAGATCTCTAATCTTACAGACCAATGCAAACAGTTTCTTACAAACAGTTACATGCCAAATAAAAACACTATTGCTTCTTACCACATAAGACACATACAGCAGACATTGTAAGTGCTCTATTCGTGCCTCAAACTTTTAATGATTTTTATAGCCGTTAAGTACCTTGAACTACATTACGCACTATCCTCTGGACCATGGGGAATTGGCATATATCACTACCAACTGACTGAACCAAGTGTCTGAACCCTGAGGGGAAAAGGAATTCATAAAACTATTTTTTAAAAAAAAAGAAGTACATTTCAAAAATACCTTCTGGGAAGTAGGAGGAAAATTTTGAATCTTAAAGAAACAATTAAGACCCATCCTCCAAAACCCTACTGCACCATTGGAAAACAGATGGCCCTGGCAATGCTGAGTTGGAAACCTGCCTTCAATTATCAGTCTGGTTACTACCAGCAGATGGGTACCGATGTAGCAAAGCCAAATTCAAGAAGAGGGAGAATCTGGCTAGTAGAAAGTACTTGAAAACTTGCTGGCAGCTGCTATGTTCATGTATACACATTCATCATGAAAATGAGACAGAACCCATTGTCAGTGCTACATGCTCATCTCCTATGTCCTGATCCTGCCTTCCTTCCACTAGGAAACTGATGCTCTATCAAATTAAGATATCAGTCAGAACTAAAGGGCAGCTCCAATGGACCTCAACACTGAGAGGCAAACACACATGAGTGGGTGTTCGATTTTTCAAAGAAAGATCATGAAGGTAAAACAATGTCACTGATTTAAATTAGCATCATTGAACTAAAGAAAATGCTTGTTCTTCAGGCTCAGAATAATCAGCCATCTAATGAGATCACAAATGTGAAAGACAGAACACCTTAAAACACTTTGACATGGGAAATGAAGTGTTAATATTAGTGTTTCTTCCCAAAATTTATCAGTTGTAAGATCATGACCAATGCTGAATAAGGCCAACATAAAAGAGAAACTACCTGAGTTGACTTCAGCATTTTTATTTTACAAGTTCAAAAATATTCTTACCTTAAAAAAAAAAAAAAAACCTTAATAAAATCAAGTGACACCTACATCTGAGGGTTTGACAAGAAAGCTGGGAAAACAGTGCATGCAAAACTGGGCTCATCCCAACAGGAAGGTTAGAAAAAGGAGAAAAGGGAGGGAGACAGGGCACCAAGAATCCAGGACAAGTGTATGTTTATGTGTCTGCTGATCACTGTCTCTGTCCCTTACTGGAGACATTTAAATGAACAGTAAGCTCGATGGAAAGATTAGTATGTCCTTCTCTATTCTGGCATTGGCTGCATAAATATTTGTTTCTAACAAAGAAATGCTCAGCCAACCTTGGGACCCAGCAGACTTATAATGCTATGACTAGGACCAACCCAAGAATTTTAAAAGGCCAGAATTTAGAAAATGAACATCTGAAAATGGATGTGCAGGCTGCCATCCATCAGCAATTAGTTTTCTGTGAGGCTATAGCCACTTAAGACATGATTGGGTAACTCATTAGCAACAATGAGTTAAACATACAAGGATATGTTCTCCTAGGCATCTCTTGCATCCTCATATGATTTGCAAAATTGGGCACTGCTCTGGCAAAACACAACAAAAATCCCTATAACCATGAGCCAGCATCAGAGCAAAGCAAGCAATTCCACCCAGATCAACTTCGGTTTAGGAGCAGCAAGAGAAGCATCATTTCCTAGGGCCAGACAAAACAAATTGCAGTTAGTACGTGGCACTTCGTGATCCCATCCATGAGCACAGCTTAATAAGTCCCCTGCCAGGGTGAAGGCTACATATGCAACTGTGGAATGGAAGCTAAAGATGTGTTTTTCTCTTTCCACTTCATCATTCTTGCCTGCCAGATCAAGCTCCTTAGAGGACCTAGTATAATACAGATCCCTGTGCCTGGAAAGGTCCCCGAGCAAGTGTTCCCTCATCCTGCCTGTCAAACTAGTACACTCTACTGCCAAACTCCAATGCAGTGGGGGCTAGTGCTGGATGTGGGGGTGAGCAGCTTAACTAAACTCTCCATTCACTTGTATACTAAATGTTAACTTTACCCTTCATTAACCCATTAATCCATGATTCCAGAACTGATAATTTCTCATTGTGAGCAGAATATTAGTTTACTAAACATGATCGAGGAAAATTTCAATACAACTGTCACATTATTTCTGCATCCAAAACCTATCAATGTGCTGAACTTGTTTGTACTTACTTATAATTAGATACAGAAAAACACCCAAATTGGTAGTATAAGGGAACAGGCAAAATTTTAATCATGAAAAAAATCTCAAATGCACTGTCTCCTGGTCATGACCTTCTATGCCTGCAGCTGACATCAAAAGGTATTAACATTTGTGAAGATCAAAGAAGCAAGAAGGTGGCCTTTAATGATTTACTGAGTATCGGTGTGCTGGGTACTGGGCCAAGCATCTTATATATAACATTTGATTTAATCTTGACTATAGTCCTGAAAGGGAGGGGTATTATTTGTATCTATATACATACTCAGGAACGGCAAATTACTGCCTCAAGGTCACACAGCAAGTTGGCAGAAAAGCAAAGCAAATTAAGATCTAGCTCCCTCTAAAGCCATCACCACTGTACCCTCAAGTCATACCAGCACTCTTACTGATGATAAGTTACTTATCTGGACCCAATCCCAATTTAAAGCTCAAGAGCCAACTAAACCCTTTCAATTCTTAATATCATCCTCGAAAGAAGACACATGCATACACAAAAACATAAATTAAGACAAATGCTAAATTCATTCCCAAACCCTGTGCTTGGGTACGTTCCGCAGGAGTGCCCTCATTTGACGATGAACTCTAAGTGAAACATGATATTCATGTAACTCAGGCCAGGCTGGAGTTAGCTGAAGATAGCCCCACAGCGGACAGGCCAGATACCTCTGGGGATAAAGTCTTCAGAAACACCTGCACACGGCAACACGCAACATCAAGCCCACTACTACGACTTGGCCCCACAAGCCTTTTAAATGTGTCTGGACTCTCTTAACCAGATGATTGCTTTACAAAATGCTTCCACCCGGCAGCCAGTGGAGTCGCGGGAAAGTTCCTGGCTAAAAAGGAAGCTCACAGAGGGAAGAATTCCATGCCAGTCTGCCTGGGAAAACGTTAGCAGAAGCATCTGTTGGTTGGTCCCCACTGGCCAAAAGGCAAACATTTGTTTTGCTGAAACAAACACATCCACTGGAAAACATTTGTGGATGGAACCATCACTGGATGGGAAGCTTCTTCTGCTTGGGTTGAAGGAGTGAGCCCCTAGCCCCTTTCCCAAAAATGTGCCCCCTTTGCTGCAGTTCAAATAACCACCTCTGTGTGGTGACAGGTGCTTCAGTTTTGCAATGGTGCTACACCCTGAAAAGCAGTGGGGATAAATATATTTGGACTTTTGTCATCTAGATAAAGAACTGTTCAGAGAATTCTTCCCATCAATCTTTAAGGGTCTAAAAAGTGATCGCAGAACATTTAAAGAGTAAGCGGGAAAACATTCTTAACTCTGGTGTCTGTGGGAGTAGAAACACCTCTTCCTAAAATTATAGTGTTGATTTATGGCTCTACTCAACTTGTTTCAATCTATTAGCTGTTCCTAAGTGGTTCTTAATTAAGTCCTTTAAAATAAAGTCCAAGCCACTAAACAAATCTAGAGAAAAGCCAAATTAAAGTTCTTAGGGATAAAATCCTATCTGTAAGAACATCAGTCTCCTCCTTGTATCTGTGCCACTCACAAACCCTCCTTCATCATTTTGTAGATCTCCAAAGACAATGTAGTTGGTGCTACCCAAGTACCAGTGTTCACCTTTGAAGCCAGAGTATGTAATTTACAACTATATTGTTTTTTGTTGTTGTTCCTGTTTCAGTGCTGAGGAATTGAACCCAGGGAACCTCATGCCTGCTACATTCCCAACACTTCAATTGTTTATAAGAATTTTAAATCTATAAAGTCTTCATCTGTCATTACTTTTATTTCCTTAAGTCTATGGCTTTCCATGGGATTTTAATGCTCCATAACCCAAAAATCAACCCTCAGAAAACAGATTTAAATCCTTGCACTTGGGAGGCAGAGGAGGAGAATCCTGTATTTAAGGCCAGCGTGGGCTACAGAGTAGGCTTCAGACCAGTCTAGGTTACACAGCAAGACCCTGTCTCAAGCCAGGTGTGGTGACTCATGCCTATGATCCCAGCTACTCAGGAGGTGGAGATCAGAAGGATCACGGTTTCATGCCAGCAGGGGCAAAAAATTAGCAAGACCCCATCACAACAAATAGCTGGATACCTGTCATCCAGCTACATGGAAAGCATAAATAGGAGGATCACAGTCCAGGCCAGCCAGACAAAACACAAGATCCTATCCCAAAAATAACTAAAGCAAAATTAAAGACCTAAAGACATGGCTTAAGTGGCACACCGCCTGCTTAGCAAGTGCCAAGGCCCTGAGTTCAACCCACAGTACCACCAAAACAAACAAAAAGGCTGGGAAAGGAATTTAAATATTTCATAGGAAATCCTTTCTTTCTTCCATCCTTCTGTCTCCCAGGTAAATTAAAACAGTATTTAAAAATTGATTACGCATTCTTGATATGCGTAACATTTTCTTGATATGCAGACATTTTCTATGACCGGCTAGTTGCATGAATAATTATATTGGAATGCAAGGTGGAAATACAAAACACATTCTATGCAATAGTCATAAACATAACACTCGCATACATACTTCTAGAAAAAGAATATATGGTCATAATAAACCACTGATATACAATTACAACTTCCTTTTGACCCTCACACTTCATTCTATATGAAGTTGAGAAGCAGCTGGCTCTCTTCACCGCTCACCTCGCTGCTTCTCCTAAGCTCCTTCTCCGTGTTCTGGCTTGCTTGGAGTGCCTGTTCAGTTCTGCTGAACCTTTGCTTAAACTCTTCCAAATTCTTTTCTAACTGTTGCTTTCCTGATGTAACCTACAATGGGAAAAAAAAAATAGGGAAAGCTTCATTTTTATGCTCTTCAGTTTATAAATAATCATGTGCTTTTAAAGAACACAACTGCACAGTAATAAACAACTATGAACTGAGATAAGAAAGAGATTGGGAGACGGTTGGGGCATGGCTCAAGTGGTGGAGCTCCTGCCTAGCAAGCACAAGGCTCTGAGTTCAAACCCCAGTACAAGAAAAGAAAAAAAAAAAAGAATGAAAGAGATCAGAGTTGTCATTATCCTCCGGTATCACAAAGGATCCCCAAGGACTCAAGGGTATTAAAATCCTCAGGTCCTTGCATAGAATGTCGAATGACCTATGTGCCCATAACCTGTGCACAGCCTCCTATAACTTTAAATCATCTGTACATTACCTGTAGTTATCTAATGCAATGTAAATAGTATATAAGCAGCTGTTAAACTGTATTGTAGGTGTTCAGTGCATTATGAGGCTAAATACACAGTACATGAATGAGAGGCAAGACAAACAATACTCTTATAACAAGAGGTACCTCGAGGTATTTCTGCACTTCACTTCATTCATGTGGACTTCGGAGAGTGCATAGTGCATAGCAAATTCAAGTTCTGCTTTCTGGAATTTTCTAGAACATTTTTTAAAAAATTGGGGGGGGGCAGTACTAGGGGTCGAACTCAGGGCCTCACACTAGATAAGCAAGGTGCTCTATACCTGAGCCACACTGCCAATCCTGAAAAAATATTTTTGATCTACTGAATCCATGGGTGCAGAACCTGCAGAGGTGGCAGGTTGACTTTATTTTTCAATATATAATAGAATTTTTTTGAAAAGATTATATCCATAACACAGCACACAAATCACACCTATGGCTCAATTTACAAAACAAAACAAAACAAAAAAAAAGAGCCAATAAAAAAAGGGGAATTTGCATAAATGATAGGAATGGTTACTGAAAGAAATTACTGGCAATCAAGGAAGCATGAATGAAAACAATGATAAAATGGCAGATTTTGCTCTTAGCTGACAAAATTTTAAAAATCAGGACTACTTCTAATTAGCAAAGATGGGAAGAAATAAGTCTTTTCTTATAGCTGGAGGAAAAGAAAACTGTTACAATTATTTTGCAGGGCAACCTGGCAGTCTCTATCAAATGTCAGAATATATAGGAAACTTCGAACCATTGATTTCACACCCAGAAATCCACCCTCAGAAGTATCAGCACACATCCAGGCTAGATGAGTGAAAGACTGGAGCGACTAGAAAAGTGGCTCAAGTGGAAGAGCACCTGCCTAAATTCAAACCCCAGTACCACCAAAAAAAAAAAGAAACAAAACTGAGAATATAGAACCTAAATATCAATCAGTGGAGGAATGATTAAATAAACTACAAAGCATCCAATGAAAGGAAGGTTCTGACAATATATTTAAAACAAAATTTTTTTTAAAAAAACAATTATACCTTTTAGAGTTTCTGCTTTTTAGGGTTTTTTTTTTTGGCATTGTGAGGGATCAAACCCAGGGCCTAGGTGTACATTAGGAAGTGCTCTACCACTGAGCTACATACCCAGCTCTACATTTGTAAATACATTTCTAAAAGCCTTAGTGAATACTCAAATTGTTAATAAAACATTGTTCTGAGAAGGGAGGAGGGGATTTTTTTTTAAACCAACTTGGATAGATGAAGGACAGATGTATCTATAAGTATCTGAGACAGTATGTCAACAGCTATTAGTAAATGTTCTCTGTCCCCATCTCAGCTGCATTTCTGCCATCCCTGATGCCTCTGCTGTGAGAAGTCATGTCCTACTCTGTTACAACTGCAATTTAAGGGTTTTAAGCTGTATTTCTCATAAAATAACAGGCAATTTAAATGAAGAAATTCTTAATTTTAGAAAACACTAAGAACATAAATGGAACTGTGACAACAGGTGAAGAATACCAGTGATGTTGAGGAAAACTTAAAAATATATCACTCTTCCAGCAAAATGGGTCAAGAAAAGAATGAACTATGCTCTACCATTTACGAACTACTGCTTTGGCATTTTAACACCATAGATATTTAGTACTGACATGCTGTCCATGCAGCAGTGAACTAACACAAATCCCTGTGCCTGTGAAAAGATTTAAGTGATGCACTGATGATTACTGTAAACTAGTCACAACAGCCATGCTATAGATTAGCCTAGGTGCCCAACAACCAAAGAATGGATAAAGAAAACGGACATGTAAATATACAGTGAAGTATTACTCAGCCATAAAGAACAAAATTATGTCATTTGCACGAAAATAGATGGAATTGGAGATTGTTACAGGAAATAAGCTACAAAAGAGCTTAGAAAGACAAACACTGCATGTTTGCCCTCATGTGTGAAATACAGACCTAAAAAACCAAGGACATGAATGTAAAAAGGAGACTTGGAGAGAAACAATGGAAGTGGGAGGGGCAAAAGAAGAGGATGATGGGCGAGTGAATGTGATGTGATCACTTTATAAGAAAATAGAACAATGAACCCCATTAAATTGTAAAAAAAAAAAAAAAGGGGGGGTAAGAGAATAGAGGGAGTGAATATGGTCAAAGTACATTATATACATGCATACATGTGTATCAAAGGTATATCATAGTGAAACCCCTTGGTACAACTAATATACACTAAAACATAAGAGTCAAGTGATAGAATATTAAAATAAATAACTATATCCCATGTGAGAGAAATTAAGCAAATTAAAGAAAACAGAAAGCTCTTGAGGCCAAAGATAAATGCAGTGAGCAGGGACAGTAAGATGACTCTGGAGTAGAAAGCTGGGAGATGTGAGGAGCACACCCTCAGATCCGGGGAGAAGAGAGCATCCGGGCTTAGTTGGTCTATGCTCTGTGTATCCAGCCAACAGCAAGGGGGCCATGCAGCTAGAACAGAGCCAGTAAGGAGAGAGGAGATGACCTCCGGGCGGGAAGCAGCAGGAAGCCACCTAGGATCCTGCCGACCTCTGAAGACCTAGCTTTGATCTAAGAATCAACACAGTCAGACTTCCATGATAAAAGGCTCACTCTGGCTGCTGGCTGAAAAAACACTGTACAGAGGCAAGTGCAGATCAGGGAGAGCAGTTAGTAGGCCAGTGATCACAGGAGACAGGATGGAGAACTGGACCAGAGTGCAGCACAAGATGTATTGTAAGTGGCCATGTTTAATATGATGAATAAATACAGACATAAAAGTCAAATTTATTCCTAGCAGGGAGGGAGAGACACATGGAAGGTTTCAGGAATGGGGGAAATAGGGGACGGCTAGCAAGATTCTCACTCCTGATAAGCAGCAGGTTATATGAGAATTTATCAGGTTGTATATGTGTTATTTTAACACAAAGAAGTTTAAATATACTTCATATCATTCACACATACATATATACATACACACAAACAGATATTCACACATACAAACACACAAGCAAACATAGTATGCACATGCACAGAAACAAGTATCAGCAGTTTTAATGGACTAGCTTGAGGTATGAGACAAAAAGAATTGAAGGCAGCATGAGGTTAGGGCCTGAGCAATATGGAGAATGGAACTGCTATTTCCTGGGATACAGAAGATGAAAGGAGCAGGTTTACAGCTGGAGTTCTATTCTGAACATGTGCACATGGCACACCACACACACAGCCCCACATCTGCAGTTCAGAAGGGACCTCCAGGTTGGAGACATAAAACAAGAATCCCATCAAACAGATGAGATGCAGAGCCACAAACCTGAATGAGATCACATTTGGAGTGAGTCTTAAGTAAGCAAATTCACTATAATCCTCAGAGTTTTAACTATTTGAAGGCATAAATTCCTGGGAAAAGCTCCCACCTGGTCAACATGACCCAGATCCACCAGAATATCAAGAGGTTGCCACAGACATTCAGATCTGAAATCCTAACTCACCCCAGGACGAGAGCCAGAAAGGTTCATGTTTGCTTTCCACTTTGATCATGGAAGTGAGGATAGAATATTTTTCTTTAAGAGAATCTTGACTCACATGTAGAATCTAAAAAACTTCATCTCACAGATGTGAGAGTAGAATGGTGGTTACAAGAGACCAGGATGGTAGTGATGAAGAAAAGATAATCGGTGGGTGCTAAGTTACAGTTAGATAGAGGGAAGAAGAATTGGTATGCTGTCACACAGTACAGAAACTCTAAATAACAGTAACATACCAGATTTTGAAAGCTGTCACCATAAAGAAACGAACATACTTAGCTTCATTTAAACATTCCATAATGTAGAGATGTATCAAACATGACAGGGTACCCCATTAATGTGTATTAAAAATATCTTGTGTTATGTGGGCTAAAGAAGCAACACACGTATGTAAAAGAAGGGACTGTCAGGAAATAGGTTAGTGCCCTACTTTATCCAGTTCCGCCTGAAGGACATTGAGCGTGTTTTTGGCTTGCTGCAACTCCTGGGTAAGTCTGATTTTCACCTGAGTACACTCCTGGTCCAGGGTTCGAAAAGAACACTGCTGGCGGGACAGCTCCTGAAAGGCAAGGACACATGCAAGACGGTTAGCCAGGGAGATTCCAGGACCAGATACAGACATCCTAACTGGCAGTGCAACACACAAAGAGCAGGAGACAATGGGGAGCCACACTGGCCATCCACTGAATGGCAAACGCAATCAAGCTCAAGTGCTGGTCCCACTAATCAAATCCAGGTCTTGAGGGGGCAGGCGAAGGAGTCTGCCAGCTGACCACATGCAAAACAGCCTGTTTCTGCTTTATCCCCCACCTTAAATGAGTCAGTTCTAGTCTGAAGGATCGGAAGTAGGAGAGAAGAGCTGAGTTGCAGTAATCACAACTCAGCTGAGAATTAAAAAAAAAAAAAAAAATCAAATGCACTCGAAAATGGGGTCAAAACAAGAAAAAACAACATCCCACTGTCATGGCCTTAGGAAGGAAATGTCACCGACTCTGATAACCATAGTACACCTGTAAGCACCCTCATCACTTTTTCGAATATCAACATTTAGCTCAGGCTACAGTGCCTAAAAGGACAGCCCCGGCACAATACCCACCAGCCCCCTCTCAGTTCTAACCAAACCTCACAGTTCATCTGACAACCCACAGGCCATAGTGACAACCAGAAAATGTAATCCAGCTCCCTCTACTGCAGAGAGAATGTCTCAAAGCAGAAATAGGATCTTGTCCTACTGGGTATCAAACCGCAGAGCACATCAGAGAACACAGACAAAAGAGGAAAAGTCTGATTCTCCTCTCCAATCAAAACCAAAAGATGCAAAAAAGTACAAAAATGCAGATGTGGAGGTAAATAAAGTAAACTTCTGTTCACAAAGCATATCCCCTCTGATAATTTTTCAAGTTATAATAAACAGCTCCCCTCTCCAAATGATCCAACTTTCCGAAATTGCCAATTCCACAAGAGCCTTTTTCCAACAAATTCCTCACGAATGCCTTTGCCTTACCTCTCGGAGTTCCTTTTCTTTCTCCTTGATTTTCTGTTCCAGGGAACATCTGGCACTTTCTGCATTTTGTCGCTGACAATTCAAGTCCTCTGTCAGTTTTTTCAGCTTTTGTTCCAATGCGGTACACTGGCAATGGATAAAAATGTTCCACACAAACTTAAGGTTTGTCAAGGAAGAAGCAAATATTTTGTGCTTTAGAAAAATCTTAGCCCCAAGATCTGCTTCCCATTGTTATGATGCTGACTTTTCATAAAGCTGGATTTTAAAGCCACTGCAATTATCCTAACATATATAAAATCTGTATTTGGGAAATAATAGCAAAAATGTAAATTATTAGCCTATTTAAATAAATACATCATAATGTGTGCTACGAATCTGACATAGCAGGTCTGATGATTCATCCAAGGCTCTGGTGCAGGGGGAAGGAAAGGTTAAAAAGCAGTAGTGTTCACCTAGCAACTTAGGGGCAGTAAAATAGTCAGAGGATGCCCATTATCCTCCCATGATAGTTTCTTTCATGCATAAAGGATTTTTTATTTTTTATTTTAAATATTAATATGCTTCCTTCCACAATGCCCCCACTATGCCATTTTACACTTTGGAGGTTTCACAGAACTCCAAAATATCAAACTGGTTTTTTAATCAAGCTACCAGAACATTCTATTGCTTTTTGACATAGCCAGTTATCTATTAAATCATTTTAAAAATGTGAACTACATGAAAATTTAGGATACTTTTCTCAAATTAGATCAGAACAAAATGGTCTTAGTTCTTCAAATGGTGAAACCCTTCTACTTCTTGAAACCATCACCTTGGGCTCAAATTATTAAACTGCCCTCCAGAACAACTCTAAAAACCCAGGGAGTTAATAAGAAACCTTCATATTGGCAGGGAAGAATTCTCTACTCTGGAAACATAGCCAATCTCTCTGCTAGTGTATTTCTCTAAGACTGCTCGCAGCCTAATTTAAAGCTATTAGAAATTTAACTGATAATTCAGAGGAAAAGAGAGCACTGTGTAATATTTTGCTGGAAGACCAATTATTGACTAACTAAAGATGAACAGTGCCAAGCTGTTCAATAATGACTAAGTTATTTTAGAAATAATGGAACTTGAAAAATATCAAAGTAAAAAGGTAAAATTTTGAGCCAGTGGTTTAAATTAATCCACTGCCTCGGACATAATGAACTCTGTCATTATCCTCATTGCCCTTGAGTTTTTTAGACACACAAAGATTACTTGTAACAATAATATAAATTCAACAAATAATTAAAAGCCTACCATATGTCATGTACTATTCTAGGTACTGGGAATACAGTGGTCAACAACCCAGATTAAAAAAAAAAAAAATCACTGCCCAAATGATGGACCAATATTTTAATGGCTGACACAAAGCTCAGGGTAAAAAAAAAAAAAAATCAGAAAAAAAGCAAAAACCATTCACCAAAGAAGATGAATAAACCCTTGGTGCCCTCTACTGGCACTCCTTCTAAGTGCAACACATTCCATTAACCTATCTCAGAATCAATAATCCTTTCCTATTAGACAGGATAAATCAAAGCAGAGCCTTTAGAGGGTAATTTTTATCTTACTCAATTTTTCAAATGACAACCTGATACCACCAATGCACAATCCATGTAAAATTAACTGACCACTAGATGTCATGAATGCTCCATAATACTCTAAAGAGCTCAAGATTTTGCAAATATGTAGAATATGACTCAGGGCCCTCCCTTAAGTCTGAATATTTCATGTGAAATGCGGGTACTCAACACCAGGTCTACACTCAGCCCAACACTCTTTCTATATGAATTCAAGTCTTGTACCACACAGTTTGTAAATACTTAGAAAAGATACATACTAAAAACAGCATAGTCACTTACGAACACCACATCACATTAGCTCCCTTATTTAATGAGCAATTCTATGGTATAGGTCAAGAAACAGCATAATAAACACAGCATAATTTGATTTCAGCCACAAAGAAAAGTGAACTAAATTCTCAATTATGTAGATTTTTAGCTGATTGAGAAACAAAATAAAACAAACAAAACAAAAAAAAGGAATCCACAAAGCACTGGACAAATGAGTCTTAAGAACAGAGGAACACCAAATAAAACAAAGCCACATTGTGTACTCAGCACTGTCTGAATCAAAAACTTTAATTGATTCTCTAATTAAGAGCCCTCATCAAATATGTCATATAGATCAAGGATTTCATGATCCTGTCTCACCAAAAACAAGGTAAAAAATAAAGTGATAAATGTAATTCTTATTACAGAAAGTCCTGGCTAGACAGAAATTCAACTGAGAATGACCTTAATTGAATAAGAACTCAATAATAAACTGCAATAATAACTACTAAGATCATTATATGTTCACCATGTACCAGGTACTGTACTAAAGCCTTTACAAAAACCATCTCCATCTTTACAACAATGTTGGGACACAGGTAATATTGACACCAATTTTATCAATTAGGAAACTGAGGCTCAAAAGTTAATTAAACAGCTTCAAAAGTAACAAAACTGGGATGTGGCAGAGCCAGGGCTACAGCCAAGTCCTTCTAATTGAAAAGACCAAAGCACTATTACAAACTCAGGCTACATGAAGAGAACCAGTCTGTACACCAAGGCAGGCTATGGTCTCCCTGAAGTTCCACTGCTCCTTCATACATCTCATCAGTATTTATCAAGTTTTCCTGTAGAAAGCATTGCACTTGGAAAACATGGAAAAACAAACCTAACTTCTACTTCCAGGAAAATGGAATAGACATACTTTTACCAATTCCTCCTAACAAGAACAAATACAAATTCTGGACATTATAATGAAACAAAAATAAGAGTGGAGAGAAGGCAGCAGACTGATGGGGGGCTCAGGATAAGTGCATTAAAAAAACAACTGTCCACCCAGAATCCTGTAACAGCAGAACTTGAAAAGGAAATCAAGACATCTTCAAATGAAAGAAGACTGTCCTAAAATAAAGAAACAGAAAGTTCTGTAAGAAGAAAGGAAATGATGAAAGAGAAACCTGGAAGGAATCTAAAGAAGGAAGAAAGAACGAGGTAAGTAACAACATAGACGTTAGTAAGCTTTCATTCTCTAGCTTTTTACAGTACGTTTGACAAGTGATTGATACAAAGTGATTGATCACTTTCGAAGTAGATCTAAATAAATAGACAAAATATTTAAGACAATTATTATTACAAATGGGGAGAACAAAGGCATGAAAAGGGAGGAACATGTTTCATAATTCATTAAAGCTGAGAAAATGAAGACATCAATAAAACATGGTAAAGTGTGTAGATGTAAATGCAATCACTATAAAAGTTCTACAAAGAGATTCAACTACAAAAACATTATAAACAAAAATGAAATTCTAAAAATGTTAAGTAACCAATCAAAAGTTAAAAACACAGAGCAATGAAAAACAGAAACAGAAAACAAAATGGAACACTCACTTAAGTCATGACATGTCAATAATTACATTAAATGTAAATTATCCAAATACACTAATTAAAAGAGACAGTGGAAGGGTACGTGAAAAAAACATGACGCAACCATATTCAGTCTATACGAAATTCAATGTAGGCGGATTAAAAGTAAAAGCACAGGAAAAAAATTTGATAACTTAGACAAAAACCACAAACTATTCTAATTGAAAACTCCCACAAAAACAATCTCCGGGCCCAGAACATTTCACTGAAGAACTGTACTAAATGTATAAAGAAGAAAAACTACCAATTATAGGCATTCTCTTTCAGGAAACTGAAGCAGTAAAAATATTTACCAATTCATTTTATGAAACTAGTATTACCCTGATGCAAATATCAGACAAAGAAAATAGCAGACCAATATCCCTCATGAAAATAGACATAAAAATCCTTGTTATTAGCAAATAAAATTCAGAGAATTACAAACCATAACCACGTAGGATTTATTCCAAAGATGTAAGGCTCATTCAAATACCTGAGAATTAACCCGTGTAACCCAACACATTAACAAGCTGTTACTTCATACAACTGCATATGAATCTTGAAACAAAAATTTTAATTAAGGTGGAAAGGAAGAAAGGAGGAAAGGGAGGGATAAAAGGAGAGAAAGTAACCTGCCCAGAGAAAGTAAATAGGAGAAACAGGTACTTACCTATATCCTAAGAAACATCTAGAAAAGTTTATTGAAAGTAAACTGGTCTAACAGAATTAATTTTTTGCAAGAACAGTTCTCTGTGATTCTGACAATTAGCCAAATGTGGGAACCACAGGGCCAGAGCATAAATAACAATACAGGGTCATAAGGAAGCTGCTGGAAGAAAATGTGTAAGCATATTAAGAGATGATAAAAAGAGCACACAGGATGAAAAAGATGTCAAGAATCAAACCTGGAGAGGAGGGAATTCCAAGTAGAAAGGCAAATATGAGCAAAACATTGCATCCAGAGGAAAATTAGGTTCTACAAACACCAAACCATCATGGTTGGTCTTAGAAGGTAATTCATTTTCCTGCATAATGTTACCATATAACATACTATATATTTTGCCTTTATTTTTTTGCTGCTGCTATTTTCTGCCTTCATAATACAAAAATTTTTGTCTATTTCTTACTCACTGCCCTATCAGCAGGTCTAGAATAGTGCTTGACCTGTAATAGGCATCAATAAATATTTGTGAAGTCAGTGAATGAAAGAATGAATAACAGAGAAGAATGGAGACAGGTTCAGACCAAAGCAACAACAGCCCTCAAATAACTGGCCTTAATTAGGTTAGCGTTAATTAGAGCCTCAAAATTCTACAGCAGTAGTATGTTTACTGAATCCTAAGAGTAGATCAGCTAAATCCCATCAAGTATATCCTAAAATTCTTTCAAAGCTCCACTACTCTAAGCACCTATTCCATGTGCCATGTTCTGTGCCAGGTGTTGTACATGCATTACTTTCATTCTTTACCATCTCTAGAGAACACAAGAGAAATCAGTGACTTGCTCAGTGTCGCACAGCTGAGAAAGGTACAGCCAGGAATGACCCCGAATCTGCCCAACTCCAAGACAGCTTACTAGTTCAAATGCATCAACACTGCCTGGTATAAACCAACAAAGACCATTACTAACATTTACTCTATAAACTGAAGTATAAAATACTCTTCCCAAAAAATCATATGACGAGATGAGAGATTTCTCAGTAATTCGTGTGAAGTCAAGTACCTTGGTTGCTGCCTGGTCATGTTGTGCTGTGGTTCTCACTAGTTCGTCCCTATTTTTGTTCAAAACTTTCTCCCTTTCAGTTAATTCCATTTTTGTTTTCTCCAGTTGGAGTTGAAGCTCTTGAAATTTATTCACTTGGCCTTTCATTTCTTTTTCTTGTCCTTGCAGGCGTAGTTCCAATTCATTAACCTTGTTTCTTAGCTCTTAAACCACAAACAAAAAGCACACTCCAGTTCATATATATATTTTTACAAAATGTTCAAAATTTATCATTTATTTTACTCTGCTCTGAAATCTTTGATGAAACAATATAATCAATTTACATTAAACAAAAAAACTATTTAAATTGGATTTAATGTCCATGGTTAGCATCTACTGTCATCTGTATTCAAATAGCTTATAGAAACAGAGAAGTATATTCTCTTATTTTCACAAAAAAACATGGGGAGAGAATGCTTTTCTAAAATCACAAACAGTAGCTATTTTGGAAATTTCCATTTTGAAGGCCAACACCTCATGGAAAACTTCAAGCAGCATTTTTGCAGCCCTTTTATAGTTCATTAAATAGGCTCTCTTAAAAACGTAACTCTTTTATGGCAGACGGGGAGCAGGTAGAAGATAGAGAAGTTAATATACTAAATGCATAAATTCACATACATTGAAACAATGACCTTTTATTATTACATTTACATGTGCGGCCTTCTAGAAAATAAGTTAAGCAAAAAAATAATGAATAAAAATATCTATCAGACATTACCACTGCTAACACCTTACTATAACTCCTGGAAAGTGGATATAAAAATTTTAAATGTGCAAAGATTAAAAAAATGCTTAATAAATATTTTTTAAAAATAAAAATCACAAAAAGTACCTTACAGAAACAGCAAAAAAGACATCAGGTGTAACACCCTTTGTTAAAATTATCACTTGTTTTTATACACTGACAAATATTTGTTTTGTGCCTATATTAACGCAAATTAGAGCTGAGCAGTGAAAAGGCCACCCTATTATATTTTATGGTAGCTTCACCTCTAGTGAAGATCAAGACAGTGTGAACCTCCTATGCTGCCAAAATTAACAATGATTTTTTTTCCCCTACATACACACGATATTGATTCCAATGGCATTGGCAGTGTGACAGCTCTCACCAGCAAACACTGACGATGATTCTCAATATATCACAGCATTGCAAATCAGCATAGTCTTCAGAGTAGATTCCAAAACACCACCTGGTAGGCTTGGCCGTCAGCCGCAGTATAGTGCAGCAGCCAAGGTTACAGGTTTGCTCCCATATGTCTGCCTGGCAGTGCAAGGCAAAGCTGTTCTGCAGATACACACCATACCTCTGGCCAAAGCTGGTCAGACCACAGGCTTGTTCCCTGGACCACAACAGGAGCAAGAACAGAAGGCCAGGGAGTGCAAAGTATAACCAACCTACTCACTCTGTCTCTGGAAAGAAATCAAAGCTTCCCAGCCTACTTTAAAAGACACAGGGTACCAGGTCTTCAATAAAAATAAAAGCACATTCCAAAATTGAGGTGTCCTTTATCATTATCAAAAAAGGCAATAGTTCATATCACCAGTCTGAGATCTTAACTTCTGATGTGTCTAACAAAACACGTGTAAGTACAATCCCGGATTAACAAGATGTCTGCAAGTGCCTCTGAATCTATCTCAGGAAAATTCAATTTAAACTTACTTCACCTTAAGAAGTTACCTTGATTTTGGACTTTGAGTTGATCCAAAAGATGAGAACTGCTAGAGTTATCACTAAAGCTGCTATTAGTATCTCTTTTGCCTATTTGCAAAGTTGACCTACTCGGAGTCACCTCTTCTTCCCCAAAAAAGTGAGATGCAGAGACATCTCTCCTAACTGGAGTTTTTAGAGAACTAGATGAAAGTCGACTTGGAGTCTTCTCCTGTTGCCACGAGAACACAGATGAGGAAGTCTGATGTCTAGCAATGTCTCGGTGATTCATAGTGGCTTGGGGAGTAGACAGGCTCACTTTCTGTAAAAACAGAAGCTTTTTATCACTTTATAGAAATCTCAGTATTGAAGGTGATTTTCACATAGACATAAAGCCATAATTCGAAGGAATCGATACTTCTACTCTACAGCAAGACAAAATATTCATGAAATCGAGAAAACTAAGACCCAATGCCCAGTGATGGAGTTTCCTAATGATCAGACTTCTCACCATGGAAGGGGTGGGCCACTAACATCTGAGGTCAACCTACATAAAAAGGGCTAAGTCTTAGGACTCATTCTGCATTCCTCAACCCCAGTAAACATATGTGAGTGTTCACTGCCATTTTAAGTTCCAAAATTGGCTTTGCTTTGCCTGTCTTTGGTCACTTCCCCCTGTAGCTTTGCACAAAGAAAATGAAAATTAATTATCAGCCTAAAATCTTTCAAGAATCTCACTTTTGGGCTCTAATTAAGGCTTTCCACCATATTACTCCCTCCAAAAAAATGCCATTCAGGATGTTTTATCTGATACAATACAGATTTGAGGAACTCTTCCCATTCTTCTTCCTTTCTTCATTCTGACTAATAACAAGATTTGTCTGTAGATGCTGCATTAAATTTTTTAGAGCAAACATTTTTCCTGCTATAGGTAGAGATTTAATGTTCATGAAGACTCACATTTTCTATAAAATAACTGAGAATCAATGTCAAGGACAGAAGTAGCACCAATGACAAAAGCATGTTTCAAGGACAAACCAGAGAATTGTTATTTATCTTGAAAAGCAATATGTTTGCTACATACCAGAATCCTAATGACCTCAAAAAAACGGGTTAAGGGTTAATGACAGTGAAGTAAAAATTGTTAAAGCTCTAAGAAATAGGTATTTTTTTAATTCTTAATACTTTAAAGGTACTTTTTTTTTTGGTGGTGGTGGTACTGACATTATAGAAATAGAAATAGTGGAGGTAAATAGTAAATTCAATAGATACCAGGTAGTCAGTCCCTGAACTAGAAGCACGGGTTTTAGAAATGTGCATTCTTTTTTAAAGATATATTCCTTTTACAGGGAGGACATTGTGACAATGCCAAATAGGCTTATATTGTACATTGGTTAGATCACCCCACCATCTCTCTCCCTCAGCCCCCTCGCAACTCCACTTAAAGCAATTCCAAAAGGTTTCTTTGTTCTAAGAAATATGTATTCTTACAATTTTAAACTTTGTTGACAATAAACAAACCTCTTCACCCACTTCTCTCTGCTTATTTACCCTTATCAAAATGGAGTTTAAGATCCTGTCATCAGCTTATTTAAAAGACCTCCTCTGAACTGAACCAGTAATAATCCTCAAGCCCTACATCCCTGGTAGAAATCACATCCCACAAGGACTGTATAGAAGCAGCAATTCCAGGTAATAAAGCCAGCCAGTGAGCACTGGGAATCCTGTGGCCTTGACCTCTCCAAACACACTCCTTATCCCTAGATCTTAATTATATGCTATGGTTTCTCTAGAATTCCATGAACATTTAGTATTTGGGGATTAACTAATCTTCTATCTATGTACATATATATTTTTTTTTCTTCCTTCTGTACTGAGGCTTGAACTCTAAGCTTTCACCTTGAGCCACTCTACCAGCCCAATTTTTTGTGATAGGTTTTTTTAAGATAGGGTCTCATGAACTATTTGTCTGGGCTGGCTTCAAACTGTGATCTTCCTGATCTCTGCCTCCTGAGTAACTAAGATTACAGGTGAGCCATTAGTATCTGGCACCTCCTACCTATTTTTAAAAACCAAAATAATCACCACCAATGAGCCAGAAATTTTTCTAGTACAAGTCAGTCCTATGTAAGACAGACTTCATTCTAACCTTGTTCTATTTTACAGCAAAGGATATCTGTAGCTGTGTATTCTCTCACAGGGCCAATGATTAACTTACTTTAATCTGTAAGGCTTTAAGCTCTGCCTCCAATCTTTTTCGTTCTTCAACCTCTTTATTATATTTTTCTTTTAGATCGTCATACTTGGAACCTAAACATAGACAATGAAATTTGGCTTCATTCCGATCCTTGATTTCATGAAGGAATTCAAAGACCAACAATGATTGTAATAGTCTAAAAATGCACCAAGTAATACACTAAGTAGAAAGAATATTTTTCTTTACAACAAAATTTTGATCCAATTACTCAAATATCAAAATATATGACAATTTGGGAATTTTGAATATTCTGAAACTGAATCTGTTTTAAACCCCACAACAGAAGGATAAAGTAAGGTTAATACTACCCCAGTGCCTCAACATAACACAGCAGACATGCAAATGAATATACAGCAGGTGGTTGCATTTTTGAAACATGAAAATTGAATGCTGACCTCAAAGTTGAATTAATTCATTTATTTCACAGATTAAAATCTCAATTAAGACCTGTTTATACCAAAGGGAATAAAAGTGTTTACCAATGTAATGTTGACTTGGTGTTAATGGTGTTGTAAAAACTTTTTGTGGCGTGCTGCATGGGTTCAGAGAGACATCTGCAGACTGTGCAGCTTGTTGGCTCCTTTCAAGTTCAGATTTACACCTGTTAGAAAAGGACCCAAAGATTAGAACTAAGTTTACGGAGTACCAACACCACACAACCACGGAGAACAAAAAACACAATCTCTAAGAATTCTTAACCATTTCATTTATCTGACATTTAGTAAGAACTTGTATATCAGATACAAATGCAGTCCCCTATCTTAAAAAAGATTAAAATGAAGACCTGTAATAACCACTATAGTAGCCAAGATCACTTGGAGGGTTGGGGATACATTCCAAGCATATTTCAAATTCTAAGTGAAAGACACAGGGATATGAAAAAAAGCAAGAACTTCAGAAACACAGGTGGAAACTGAGGTCACTAAAGCATGGGTTCAAGTCAAGAGAATAGACGACTTTACTTATAAATGAATCATCTCAAAAGCACAGACTTGATATACAAATCATGTATTACACAGCATTATTAAAACACAGATATAAAAAAATAAGTTAACATAATACATCCAGAAAAGATATGGCTGGAAACAGTTACAAAGACATCAGAAAAGTTATATATTATATGTACAAAATATCCCTATCATTTGAGTAAGTTCTGAACACCTTTCAGAACCAAACAACCCATGCAAAAAAGAGGGCTTAATTCTTGTGTTAAAGATTCAATTCTTGTCAGTCTCTAATGTCTCTGATTTTACTTAACATAAGAAATAAAATGAACACTGTATTAGAATGACTAGTGGTAAGCACTACTCTCTTTGCCATGGCCACATTACTCAAAGTAGAAAGTGAAGAAAACAGTGAAGGAAGTAACTCAATGCCCTTAGCTCCCACAGTTCCAAATTCAATGTAGGAAAGAAGAGACAATGTATGAGCTGAAAATAATGACAATTCAGCAAATTAAAGCATAGCATTTGAATTCACAATAGGCAAAGCACTGTCTAATAGAAACACTTTATTACCATAAAAAAGCAATAAGAAGTAAAACATTCATCTTATTTAACTTGCCATTTTCAGATACTATAATGTTGATTTGTAATTACATTTTTTAATTAAAAAAAAAGGTGTAATAAGCTTGTTTTAATTGCTTAAACATGGCAAAGAAACAGGCAAATTGACTTTGTAATGCTTAAAGTGGGAAAGGGCGACCTCAAACAAGAATCTCAGTAAGAACCTCTTCTGGACTCCACTTGCCTTTCCATCCAGCTTAGAACCCATGGCACACTACTTCAAACACTCTCTTCCTGTGATCTCCAATTTTCCCACTGCATTCTATCCCATTATCCTGGCCCAAAACAACCCTAAGTCAACCTCCCTGTTCACTTTCTCAGCACTTTAGTCCCAAATGCTACAGGAAAACACACACAAACATTCACACCCCCCACACACACTCTCACACAACCCCTACAGACTGGTCCTGTTGTATAGTCCTTGTATCCAATCTCAATTAGGCCTTCACTGAGCAACATTTTTAAATTCCCTAGTTCTCCCTTTCATTCTCTACAGCAGTTTTCCACACAGAGAAAACATGAGTTACCACTCTAAGCCATGACTTCATTTCCATCTTTTGTACCTTATTATATCATCCGGTGACCAATGTAGCATCTGACACATGGACCAGCTTAGTAAATATACAACTAAATGAATAAATAAGTAAGCGACCATTTAATTTATTTTAAATTAATAAATTTATTTTGAGCTACATAATGACACAACTGAATCACTGCTTATTCCATGGTGGAGAAGGTCACAATGTATAGTAACTACATCATTAAAGAGAATAATAAATGCATTTGACAGCTACATACAAACAATATTCACATAAATACCATTCAAATAGTTACCTTTTAAGCTCCTGCTCCAGTTTTTCTATTTGTTTTTTGCCTGAATTCAGTTGTCCTTCCTGGAAATTCACTTGTGACTCCTTAACTTGAAGCTCATGAGAAATCTTCTGCTTCGTTTTCTCCAAATTTTCACAGATTTCCATCAATCTCTGATTCTCCCTTTTCAGGTTTGTGACCTCAGTTTTTTCATTTTCAACCTAATGAGGATGGTTGAGAAGAAAATTGGTCTCTTATTTTGTGAATTTACCAAGAATTACTTGTAGATCTGAGTCTAGCACCAACTACTAATTTTCTGATAAATAAAAGTAACAAGCCACATGTCAATGCTCCTCAACACAGAAATTTTAGATGACCAAACTCTAAAGTCAACAAATAGAAAAGTTCTACAGAATCATGTATTATATTGTCTCCGGTCAGGGCTATCCCTACCCATCCTAAAAAGACAGGCTTTCACATCCATTTAAGAATTTTAAAAAATCACAAACAAACCCTACAACTCTTCCTGAGCAGCTCATTTTCAAGTTCCACTGCTAAAGTCAGTTATTGTAAGAAATCGGAAATTCTCCCAAACAAAAGCATTTTAGAAGCAATGCTCGTACCACTATTTTGTTGGCTAATACAGAGATTTAAAAAGAAAAAAAAAAAGGATTAAGTTTTCATTTACTAGTTCTAAAGAGAAGAAATACCAAGGTGTAAAAACCACTTTCAGAAAGTCATCTCTACTTGAACCCCCAAAATGCTGTAACACCATCCTCAGATTTCAAGCCACAGACTTGGACTTCTTGTTGCTTGATGCAAAACCAATTCCCAATTCAGGGTTCCAGACAGAAGTTAAAATACAACTTCGTACAGCCCTAAATGTCAGCAGATAGATAGAAATGTAGCCAGACATGAAAATTAGAGGCAATTAAAAATGTTTGCAAAGAGAGAGGGATTACCACTAAAAGAGGAAGATGTCAAGATCACTTTTCTCTAAGAAGTGAAATAATTAACCCAAAATGAGTGAACAGTTTCCAGCCCCAGAGCTTCCGTGATACACACCTTCTGTTTCTGCTTCTGCAGCGCTGCCTCTAGGGTGTCCAGCTGAAACTGCCTTTGCTGCTTTTCTTTCTTCAGTTTGTCCAGCTGTCCTTCAAGCTCTTGAATTTTCTGTAGAGCTCTTGTAGGGAGGCCTTCCTTCCATTCTTCCAGTGCCCAGCTCATTTTGTTCTCCTCTTGTTATTTGAACATTTATAAGGAAACTGAAAAAGCAAAACCAGACTGCTGGTTTACTTATAGTAAATAAGAAACTTAAAGTCAGAGACTAATGGGTCCACCTAACCACCTAGACAAATCAAGTTTCAAAACACATTTTAGAAGATAATGTAGTACTATATGAACCTCCTCCATCTTCTGAAAGGTGACTACAATAACTAATTATGAAGTACAGAATATGCTTGTTTTGGTTTCCCCTTGCTTTCTGTTTTCCTTATTTTCTTATTTCTTACTTATTATGGCTACCTGCTTTCTACCGCTCATGTTTCGTTTTCATTATACAAAATATGAATGTTTTGCTATAAGGTTTTCAGGTGAAAATAGATTCTACCTATAAACAAATAAAACTCATGGCCAATTACTTTGCAAAGGCTCCTTTCCCTCTTCACATCATTAATTACAACTCACATTTCTTCCTCTGGGAAACCTTTTCTGAGATCCCTGACCAGGCCAGGATTCCCTGTCAGTTTCTCATCACACAGGTGCCCTGTCTTCTTCCAAACAGGCATAATTTGTTAACTAATGGATGAATTACCCAAGAGTGGATGCCAAATCATCACTAGAATCACTTCAAAGAGTGATAAAGCCATGCTCCAGACAGAAAGGAAAGAGGAATAAAGCCTTAGTGATTCAAAGGGAATTCAGGTCCCATCTTAGCCACTAGATGTGTGACTTTGGGCAAGTTATTTAACTGCTCATTCGGTCCCAGTTTCCTCATTAATAAAAATGAGGATTTTAATGGTGGTGACTTCCTTAAGCCTTAGACTAGCATCTCCTGGTAAGCTTTCTGTACAATGTAGCTATTAAATCAGTCCTTAAAAGTATATTCCAGCCTGTGGTACACAGGGTGAGGTGGCCTACCTCCATCTCCACCGCATCTTAGGATAAACTAGGAGAAAGTATGGAGATCGTTTTTTTACTTATCCTTTAGAATGTACATAAAAGAATCATTCATTTTCCAGTTATTTTTAAAACAGGCTATACGTTCATTTTTTTACTAAGAATGATAAGATTTTCAAAGATTAAGGAGAAACAAAGGTCACGGACAATATATGCTAGCAAACTTTGGGAAGCCGATTTAATCCACTCTCCTCCCAAATCTGAGTCCTTGGAAGACATCTTAACTCCACTCCCATTCGCCCAAAAACTACTTACAGGAATTTCATGTCTCTGAAGTAACAAAACACAATTTACCCGGTCCCTCAAAACCACACCAATCCAGCCTATTTGTTCAGAAGTGGGAGTGCAATACACCACAAGCACCCAAAAACAGTCCTAACCAATTCAGCCAGCCAGGGGCATCATACCATCAAGATGCCATAACCAACAAAATATAAAAAGATGAGGGAAAATAACAAGGAAAACTGGCAAACTGAATGCTTTTCCGTTTCAAAGTCTAAGACATAGCCACGTAAATATATATATATACATGAATATATATTTAAACATACATCTATATGTAAAAGGGGGTATAAAGAATGTTGGAGGAGGTGAATTCAACTATGATATATTTGATATATTGTAAGAACGTTTGCAAATACCGCAATGTTGTCCCCCAGCACAATAAAAAAAAAATTAAGAAAAACAAATACATATTTATGGGTGCATAAAAATACTAAAATATATGTATGCATTAAATATAATTATTTTATGTATTTATACTATATTAATATATACATATAGCAGACCCAAGCTACTTGTGATTAGAACAGATGTTGACACTTTAAGGTATCGGCAATTGGCCATCCGTTGGCAAAACAACAAAAAAAGTAAATCTGAAAGACAAAAATCTGAGAAAGGATGGAAAGCCTTGGTTCTAGAAAGAAGGATTTGCAGGACTAAAGCCTTTCCAGAAAATGCTCTTATCTCACGTCTTAAATGCGTGGAGGGCACTTTTTGTGCCGGAATCACCCAACCCCTGTGAAGTCCCCAGGGAAGCCCTGGTGTGACCCAGCGTCCCAGTTGGTTCTCGCGATTTCCCTCCACCCCCCAAAAAAACAAAAACAAAACAAAACAAAACCTGAGTCCCGCGCCTGCTGTGCCACGGCTGGGTCTGAGAATAACCCGCCTGGTCCTCTAGACCAGGCTCCTTTCTGGTAGGACTGGTGTCACTTATTTCTGGCTCCTCAACACATAACAGCCTGACAGACAGGTGCATCCAAAAAGATATGGAAGGGAAGAGAAGAAGAGAGAAACGCTCTCCTAACTAACGAAATGCGCACCACCTGCTGCCCAGACCAAAAGCCAAGCAACGAAGGCTCCCGGGCTTGCAAGGCTGCTCGGAAACACCTGGTCATCTCCAGTGTTGGAGGCGGAGACCCCGAAAATGCGAGTCCGTGAGCAAGCAAGGCCTAGGAACCCCACGACTCGCACCGCCCTGAGCCCTCCGGTGCGGCCAGGCGGGAGGGGACGTCTCGCCGCACCCATGGGGCCCGGTAGCGGACCCCAGAGGCGTCCCCGCTCCGCATTCCCCAGCACAGTCCAGCGGCTCCCCAGGCGGGACACAGGCAGGACGCTCACCTTGAGACGTTGTCACCGAGGGAGAGAAAACCCTTTTCCCAGAGTCCGGTCCGGCCAGCCTCCGCCCGCTGGAGCTCAGATTCCAATTCAAACTGCCCGCCGCCGCCGCCGCCGCCGCCACCCGTGATCCGCGCGCCCACTTCCGATCCCGACGAGCTCGTCTCCATGCCTATTGGTTGTTATAAGCAGCTATGGACCAATCAGCTTCTGCGTACTGGGCTTGCCACCTCTGATTGGCTCTTTTGGATGGTTTTTAAAAACAAGCTCTCAGAGCTGGAGGGGCCTGCGCGGATCCGGTGCTTTTCTTGTAGTTGCGGGGAGACAGAGACCACGTGCTTTTGCTGAGCCTGGACCGGGTTTTTTTGAACCGCTATTTCCGCAAATGCCAGGGAATGCGCAGGCTGATTAGGAGGGTGTGACCTATCGCCGACAGCCAGGGTCCCCGGTGCGCTGTCTGGTGAAAACTCACACACCGCTCACGTCTGTTTACATACTAAATTGCTGCATCCCTGTGCATTTTTATCCAGCGTTATTCTTGATTCTTGGAGGGAAGTGTTAGTCTCGTTTTATGTAGAAACTAGCGGAGGCACATGAGAACTAAGTAACTTGAAACTGGAACTAGATATACGGAATCTCGCTCTTAACCACTGACCTCTATTTGATTATATTTGCTTGGCTGGGATGCAAGGGAAAAACATTTCTTCAAAGTCAAATATTCAGAAACACTGAACTGGATGTAATGTTAACTTTTTATAAAACCATTAAGTTTGCATATCATTTATGTACATGCTTTTCTTCCTCTATTCTAATATAAATAAACTTCTAAAAGCAAGAGCAAGCTATGAATTGTTAAATAAATGTCTAATGTGTGGTCCTCTTCAGTAAGTTCCAAATGTAGCACACCCCTGTGTTTCTCTTTTATTAGACTATTCTCGTCCTCATCTTTCACTGAAGTCCTGCCCCAGTACCCAACTCACATGCCACTTTCTTCATGAAACCTCTCTATTCCCACCGACTCTTCAGAAATAGTTCTTAGCTCTTTCTTAGAACCTACTTTATACTTCATTTTTAGGATTTTATTTTGGCCATGTTTTATATTTATGTCTATGTCTGGCTTTCTTGTTAGCGTCAAAAATTCCTTTACAATAAAATCTGTTTGATTCATCTTTGCATTCCCAGTGAATCAGGGAGTTAGTTGATACTGACAGAACAACTCCTCCTTACAATTGCATTTTGTTGGCCCATTCACTGCAAAGAATGGAAAGTCCTAAACACCATACTGACATTGAGTAGCCTTTGGGCTAATTAACAAGTAATTAGCATTGCAGCTAAGCAAAATTTCTACTCACCTCTGCACCAGTCCCATTTTGACATCTAGTGTGAGAGGAGTTTATAATGCACAGGCTTAATCCCAGTAAAACACACACACACACACACACACACACACACACACACACACACTCTATCTAAAGACCCTCAGGACAGTCACTCACTCTGGAGCCTGCCTGCTCTCCATGTCTTGAGGGTGTATTTTCCTTTGCTTTAAATCTAACCTGTTTTCACCAAATCTCCTATGTGTCCATCCTTGAATTCTTTCTCAGACAAAACCAAGAACCTCTGGGACCCCCAGTTTGGTAATACTAGTAACTCTCTCATAACTTTGCACATAGTCATTTTAAAAACATCATCTTTGGAGATAAAACTGCAATCAAAAGAAGGGGCTGGTTCTCCACCACCCTTATATCCCCAATAGAGGGGAGGGAACAAGTAGGGAGGAAAAACTTTGTGGGACACTGTACTAGTATCTGGTAGTTCTGGAATTTGAGTGAAATTCTGACTCCGATACTAGTTACTATTCCATTGCTTCCTGTGATAATTTTTTATTAGCCACCTAAGGAAAATAGAACTAGAAAGATAAGTAATACAAGATTTTTAAGGTTCGAATGCAAATTTTACCATTTGTTCATTCATTATTTAGCAGATATCGGTTTAATGTCCACTGTATAATCAAGCTTGTGTTACATTCTTCTAGAATAAATAATTTTTTAAAAATATATTCTCTTCTTCCACAAGGGACTCATATAATGGAGAGTATTCTAGTAAATTCTATGCTGTTTCTGTGACTTCTCTTCCCCTGCTTCTATTTTCCTCCAGTTTGTTTGGGTTTGGGGAGACAGGGCAATTGGAAAATGGGCTCCATTCAACCAAATGCAGATGTCCTCCCACAGTTCATTTTCAGCTCTTTGATCTTTTCTTTTTAAAACCATTCCCTCAGTGAGCCAGTCCACTGTTTATCCACCACCTCTACTTTCCCATCTTTTCTTCTCCAGCTTAGACTGCAGCATTTATGACTGAAATCATTCTTGTTGTTAGTGTCCTCAACTCCCTTATCCCTGTTTTTTCTATTTCCCCCCAATCTGTATGCATGTGACTGTCCAGCCATCCATACCTGCCCTTGGTATGGATACCATTTATTCAGTATACCATTGCTGAAGAATGGGGCTGGAGAAAAATCCCAGGGCTGTATAGATATTTAAGTGTATGACCTCTAGCAGGGCCTCAATGCTACTCCTCAGCCCTTTTCTCCAAATTTCAGAATTTCTTCAATCTCCTCCAACCCCTACTTCTGCTATCAATACAGCTTCATCTCATAGTTCACAGAAAATAAAAGAAGTCTGACAAGAACACCTTCAATGTGCTGCCATGCAAATTTACAAGCTTGACAAAACCTTTACCCATTCTTCCTTCCATTTTGCCTGTTGCAATCATAGGGGAAAGATTTCTAATTCTTCCTAAGGCAAAAGGATTCCTCTGAGATATGGAGTATATTGCTGCTCAGGAACTCCCCTCTCTGGATGATGCATTTACAAACTTTCTATAAATGAAAATTTCTAAGGAAAACTGTCTCTATCGCTGAATCATTGAGATAATATAACCTTAATGTCTTTTATGCAGCAGTTTATTTTTATTAGCATATATATTTTCCAGCTCTATGAGGGCTTAAAACATTTTATAATTATACATGTGCCTGTCTAAGTATGAGATTTTTGCCCCTCCTATTATGTCCATTCAATGTGAAGGGAACCTCAGCTGGGTGGTGGTGGTGATTTTGGTCTGTTCCTTTGTTTAGGTTTTGTTTAGAACCAATTGTTATTAGAGTCAGATAGAATATGTTTTTTCCATGTTCTTATTTGAACCCTTCTGAGTCTGTACATTCTAGATGTTTCTCTTGTAAGCAGCAAGAGAAACATCCTTTCTGAAAATCTAGAGCTTTAATTTTTATTGAGATAAAACTCACACAAAATAAAATTGACTCAATTTTAGACTAAAGTGCAATGAATTTTGACAAATACACACTACTGTAAGCACTACCAAAATCAGAATAAAAGTATTTGTGTGTGTGTGTGTGTGTGTGTGTGTGTGTGTGTGGTTGTGGTGGTACCAGGAGTTCAACTCAGGGCCTCACACTTGCTAGGCAGACGATCTATCACTTGAGCTATACCTCTAGCCTTATTTATGTTGCTTATTTTTGAGATAGGCTTCACTTTATGCCCAGGCTAGACTGAACTGTGATCCACTTATGTGTACTTCCCGAATGGTATTGTAAAATGGGATTATAAGCATGCACCATCACACCCTCCAGATTGAATTTTATTATTCCTTTCCAAGAATTACCTTTTGATTTTATTTCTTTTTCTCTAATATTGTCCACTTTCTCTTTCACTGAAAGAAAGAAAAGAAAAGACTGGAATAAGTGCCGATTTACTTAACTGCAGGCACCAACCCCTGGTCAGGAGGATCATGAGCAACCAGGGAGACGTGACCCCACCAAACAAAAAAAGCACTCACCAGCATCCAACTCTACAGAAATGGAGATTTATGAACTCCCTGACAGAGTTCAACATAATCTTAAGCTCAGTTATCTATAAGAGAATACAGATAGGTAACTCAACAAAATCTAGAAAATAACACATAAGCAAATACAAAGTTAATTAAAGAAATAAATAATTGAAAAGAAGCACACATTCTTCAGCTAAAGGAGCACCATGACTGAGCTGGAAAAGAGAACCTTGAAGTGTACCTTGGACCCTTTTTTATTTTTTTTCTTTCCAGTGCTGGGGATCAAGCCCAGAGCCTTGCTCTCTACCACTGAGTGCATTCCCAACCCCAGGAGACCCATTTCTTTGAGAAATATGTACATGACCATAAGCTTCTCTGATTTTATCATATCCTATTTCCTGAAAGTAGTTGGTCTAACCCTGTGATGGATTGATTTGTGTCCCCCATAAATTCATATCCTGAAATCCTAACCCCCAATACCTCAGAATGTGACTTTTAGTTGGAAACAGGGAAATTGTAGGTATTATTAATTCAGATGAGGACCCTAATCCAATATTATGCTCTTATATCTAAAAAAAAAAAAAGGGGGGGGGATTTTTGGACACAGAGAAAATGCCATGTAAAAAATAGTTTCTCTGCCTCTAGACAAGGGACACTGAATATTCTGGCAAACCACCAAAATCTAGGAGTAAGGCATGGAAGACAGTCTCCTTTGAAGCCCTCAGCAGAAACCAACCCTGCTGACACTCTGATCTTACACTTACTACCCTCCAGAACTATGAGACAGATTTCTGTTGTTCTAAGCTGCCCAGTTTTGGGTAGTTTGTTATGGCTGCCCTAGGAAAGTAATACAGATCCCAAGCTGGAATGGCCTAGTAAATACTCAGGCACCAGTTCAGGAATAATATCTGGTAGAATGGAGAACTTCTTCCTTGACGCACTGCCTATGTTGAAACCACTGAATTGTGCCATGTTCCCAATCGCTAGAACATACAGGACTTGAAGGCAAAAAGTGGGAGAATTGGTGCTTCTCATTATCGCTCCAATAACATTTGTGCTTCTCATTCCTTCTCCTGCAGGCTATGAAGTGAGGAGTGGGGAATGATGCCCCTGGAGACACAAAATGTTTTCACAAAACATATAGCTATACCTGGTTCTTTGATTTCCTTTTGTGGACAGCAAGCAGAGAAAGGAGTTACAATTCTGGTGCTGGTG